AAGGGGACAATCCGAATTTTAGTGTTTTTTTTTTTTTTTTTTTCTACACCGAAAATATTGCCGTATACCAAGTGAATACCGTAGCGGTAGCGGCCGACTGGATGCAGTTTTTATTTTATTTTTTCCCACCACCCGTTCGCCAACGTTTATACGTATTTGAAATATTATCGAACAAATTCGACGTTCGTCGTAGATTGGATACGCAGTATGTGGGAATGAAATATCTCGTTCAGATTACCATCGGCACAATAAAATACATTTAGTATTAGGCACACATGAATCGAAAAGAATTCTCGCACAGTGTACTTATTTCACCGAACAAATAACGTACACGCAGGTATCATCTGGAAACCATAAAGAGTTAAATCGAAATATACTCTCGAATAATACGCTTATGATTGTGCCTAACCCATGGCCTATCCGGTCGTTTTCCCAATCGATTCTTTATGCTTACGATTTTATTTTTTCATATAATATATTGTATCTCAAATGTCAAGTGTATTAAATTCAGAAAATTACATTTCGCGTCGGAAAATAATGTGCTTATAAATAGTATTATGGGTACCTATAATATTTTCTATATATTATTAAGCGAAAAATCGGAAACGATACTCGCGTTAATTTACTCACTCGGTCAAATCAAACGACAACATAGCAAAATTACGTTGCTTAGAACTGTGCAGGCGTTTAAGTTGAAGTTAGAATCCAAACGAAAATAAAACAATTTTAAGATGACAATAGTTTTGACTGTACAGCGTTACTTTTTTTCTAAAATATTGCCAAAAGAATAAGTTACAGTAATATTAGGTTTTGATTTTTTTTAAGTAACGTTTTAATTGGCGATATTTTAGAAAAAAAATAATCACCGTGATGTCCTCGAAAATAATCCGCTCTTTAAATTTAGTTGCCTGTGTGCTTAAACTTTAGTTTCGACCTAAACGCCGGGATTTTAATTCTAAGCAATGCGATTTTGTTGCGAGTATGTTGTCCGTTAATCGGGCCGAAACAGTATCAATGCGGGTATCTATCACGTCCTTTTAAGAACATCAGTTTATGTTAACCGTCCGGCGATGTATATAAATATAATAATATGACGCGTACTTAGTGGATATTTTTTCCTGGATTATCATTATTACTACACCGGATATACAGCTGTGTCCTATAGCAATATAAATTTCGTGTGTGGTATACCTAATAATAAAAATC